ACAGAGGTAAGGAAGTTGGAAAAGCAATTTGGAGTGCGACGATTGAAAAACACCCCCGCCTGAACAAAAACGGTTCGTAGAGACGTTCGCACAAAGAACAAACTCAATAGGCGCAATTTGCTCCCGTTGAGCTTGCTCTTCGGCATAAAATCGACGGGAAGAATGAATGATGATGCTTAGTCTTGGTGAACAAATTCATTCCAGTTCTAGGTGTTTTTGGTTAACGATGGCCATCATCTTCATGTCAAAGTCAGCTGAGGCTCATTCTACTCAGTAGTGGTGGTTCTCATCTAATTCTACCGTAACCCAAGCCGTGGGTGAATCGCGACACGGGTTCAGGAATCTTTGGGTTCATTTGAAATGATCTGAAAATGGTGCTCGGAAGTGGTTAGTCTGCAGAATCTCTACCTTCTGGTCTGGTTACCCACGATAGCAAAAAGGCTGCGCAAAGTTCAGTTCAGAAGAATAGACAAGTGGGTTCCCGTACATTAACAGCTCTAAGCTTATTAGCTTGGTATTCGCCGTGTAACTGAGCTTCAATAGAAATCGTGGATGCCACAGTTCAGTATTGCAGTGCCCTTTGGCCCCATTGGAAGTCGTTCATGCATCTAAAAGCGACATAGGTTAAAGTGAGGTTTATAGTTGGATAGCATATACAGTCAGCACTGTACCTCTCTCCGAGTTTTATGTTGAGGACCTGATTCATGAGAATGGTGTAGGTTCGCTCTCACACTTCCTTCTCCTCCTACTTATTTGTACGCTCCGCTGAAGCTTTTTTGTCCAGATGAATGGAGTCGATTGTATTGTCCCTATTCAACCATTTTTGGGTGGCTCTAAGAATAGGAAGCACGATCAGATCGTTCACGTTTCCAATCAGATCTTCGTTCCACCATTTTCAATGAGTTGCCTCGAACATTCAATAGATTTTTGATTCCTCAGAGGAGTCTCAATGAGAAGAACCTCAAACATGACTAGTACAAGATATACTAGTTAGCTTGTGGTGGGGAAAAAATGAGGAGAACAATGTAATCAATCATTCCTAAGACTGGCTATTCATCCATCAATCGTTCCTGTTGTTGTGTATGAGCCAAGTCTCCGTTATACGAAAATAAATCAGAGGATTTTATAGACATCACAGCGAAAAAACAAGCAAAATGGTGAACATGGCTTACTCGAAAAATAAGCTTCACAGTTTTTCAAAGTACTCGGAATCTCATTTGATCCTCATCAGCCGACCCTTATGACGCCGCTTCACAGCTGCCCTTCACTAAAGTTTCATATTACTTAGTTAAACTTCGTCAGAGATACAATTAAAGCCTGCTATATCATCGAAAAAACCATAATAATATGTATAGATGTGTCACAAAAATAATGAATAATACTTCAAAAGCGGAGGTGGTGTAGTGGCAAGTGGCGCACTATACACATGCATGGCCATGGGTTCGAATCCCAGACCGATCCTCAACTAGGCCAACTAAGCCTTCCATCCCTCCGAGAACGGTTAATTGGTACCAAATTCGTCTGGGAGGATAAAAGCACTGACTTGTACATTGGCTGGCAACCGCATAGGCCACATACGCATTCAATACACCATTACGATTTTGAATGGGAGTCGAGTGCAGGGCGCATTCCGAAAAACGGAACTGGTTAACGTCAAAGACTTTGGAATATACGTTAAGACGTCAAAGATTAATATTTCAACCATGAAACAATTATTCTTCCTTCTTCATTATTTTATTAAAGATATAAAATAATATATTGTATTCATAAAATTAGAACTCATAAAATTGATAAATTTAATAGGCATAAAATTAGCTCCGAAAGTAAAATTTTCAGTGCCCATCAAAATTGCACCATCAGAGTAGTTCAGGAATTCTTGGCTACATGCCTAATAAAATAATTTTTATTGAAAAATCGATTGGTTCGAATAAATAAGTTAATGGAAGCAAAATAATATTGAATTTAATTTCAGAAATTCGTGTTAATATAACTATTACACTAGCTTAAAATACGAAAAAACAAAAAAAAATCCTGAAAGAGATGGAGACAAAAATCATGAAAGTTGTAATATAGCCTTAGATCTGATAAGCTTCAAATAGTTCCCTACAGAGGTCCTTTGATCTGAAGGTTACGGTACCTTTTAGGCTGTATATGAAGACCCCAGAGTGGTGAAACAAAAGAGTCAGACGGTATGAAGAGCTAAAAGTGCAAAAATCTTCAACGACCGTTCATCAGCAAATCAATCGGGGAAGGGGGCACTTGAAAAGTTTACCAGACCTGTTCCACTGAATGAGCACTCATTCAATGAACAAGTGTAATCAGTCAGCCGGTATCGAAGAAGAAGAAGATGGCAGGATGAAGCTCTTCGGTGAAATGGGGGAAAATATCAGCACAAGGTATTCCCATGGGCGTGGCCATGTTATGCTCGACGAGCAACAAAAAACACCTTTTCTCAATCCCATTGATGTGCGACAGACACCTCTGCCGCCGTGGCTCGTTTGTTTTCCCTCCAACAGACATTTATCTGATCCTAGACGAAGCTGCTCTAGTTAGCTCTAAGTTTTTTTAAAGTAGGATGTTGGGCACCTGATCAGCATGTGGATAAAGACCGCTATTGACCGACACCACTTGATTACAAGAGATCTCTACCCATTCCTGTTCGGGTGCCCAGTTCTTTTTTCGAGATTCAGAGCTGGGAAAAAACAGAAGCAAAATCATATAAACTCCTATTGAAGCAGTGATCCCCTGAATGAACTGCACCCACGACCGAGCTTTCCACAAGTCATTTGTTCCCTGTCCTTTGCTTCGCTAAAACTATCAGTGCAAGCTCCGCCCACTTCTATAAGTCACGCCCAGAATGAGGTGTCCTTATACGCACTTTAAGTATTCTCTACCAATCTTTCGAGATGAAGCGAACTCTTGGGGTCACACGCTTTCCTCTGGAGACAGCGAATATGATAGCAGTCAGGGGAACTCAGCAATCCATTACGTTCTATTTCCCAAGGGAGCTCTTGGATCAGCTATAAGAAAATGTTCGGGCATCTTTTGAAGCTTTTCGGGCTTTTTCGCTCCGTGAATCTCTATTTGAGAAGTGTAGACATTAGACTGTGCAATGAACTCTCTCAGAGATTCAAAAGGGTACTATAAATATCGCCTTTTATCACGAAACATTTTTCACGCCTTAGAATTTTGATAAGGAGTAAGTTTGGATATTCTTGGTGCCATAAATTTACAAATCCAATCCAGTACCACACCGAAAGCTGTCTTAGCAGTTACCAATATGGGTTACTCTAGCATTACGGTAATTCATGATTGCTGAACAAAATAACAAGATTCGATGAATTGAAAAAAAAAATTCCAAAAAAGGTTGAAAAAATACAAAAATGAACAGAATCTCTGGAAATTTCTTGAAAATTCAAAAAATAATATCTTAATAGAAGAAATGGCAGAATCAATTTGACTAATCCAACCAGCAAGAAAACACCATTAATCTCGCTGGAATTGAGTCATTCAAGTATTGTGTAAACGAGTGTTTTGCCCGTGTATGAAAACAATATATACAACTCCTTTCATTTAATACAACGTCGCTCCACATTACACATACAGGGGTTGGTGAACTCGTACCCTAACACGCGCTCACACGTCCACTTTGGGCGGGACTGGAACAACTCCCAGGAACATTGCTGTTAGTTAACCCTGCAGCAAAACAGTATACAGCACTTCCTCTGATGCTTAACTACCATTTCTATGACCTTTAATGCATAACTGGCCTTTTGTGCTTATTACCTTGAAGGTAAAATGTTTCCTATACAATGTCTAGTTTATAGAACTTGAAGGGCTCTCCAATTCAGATAATTAGGAATGTAGGGGACAGCCAGAGTAAGGCATTCCCCATAAGGACGACACATCAAGTTTTGTGAGAGCCTTTTGAACACCACAGAAACCTATTTTTAGGATTGGTCCTGATAAGAGCTTTAATGCCGAGTTTTGAACATACTCCTTGGCTTTTTTACACCATCTAACTTCAGGTTATGGTATGCACCATGCTCTCAAGCTTAAACCTGACATACCTGGTTCCACCTCAGCTTGAATCAGCACATGTGAGAACAACTCGATCGAAACCTGATGACCGTTTCAAAAAAAAGCGTCCTACTACACAAATACAAACGGTGTCATCGAAACACCGATGACCAACAACTTGAAATTCTGAAAAACACATGGAAATAAGACTTGAAAACGAAAAACCCCATAATTTAAAAAAAAACCTTTACGAGTTACCAATAAAATTACACGATGAAAGGAACTCCACTTACAAATGACATCGAATCTGATCAGTGCCAGATGTCGGAAGCCATCGAAAGACGACATCTGGCAGCTTTCTTTACCATCGTACTTCTTCTTCATTTTATTGGCCAATTTAAGTTCACTGTAGCCCTAAGGTAGCTTATTTGTATATCGATTGTCCTTCGTAGGGCAGTATACAAGCTAAAAAACCAATATAACTACTATTACATTTCTAAGTGAAACTAAAAAATATACCGTACCTTAAAGCGATCTGACTGGCGAGGTCCCNCTTATTTCCATCCATACTAAGAAACACATCGACCAATTAGTGGCCCGAACCTTCCACAACTTCAAATAATTCCCTTCCGGTTATCCTTCCGAATGTATTTTTAAACGCTTATAGCATTTACACTGCAGCTTTAGACATTTATTGACTTTCATGGAAAATCGAGAACAACAAAACAAAAAATACCACTGATAAACAAACAACAAAGCAAAGAAGCGAATAGAGAAAACAGAAGGATATATTCAACGTTTACAATTTTATCCCGTTCAACAGATGGACTCCAAGTATCGACTGCTAAGCATATAACCAAAATGAAATCAGATTTCGAAAAAAACAGTAGGAAGACTTTTATAGGGACTCTCTTAAGCAGTGCTTCATTTGTGAAAAAAGTGAAAATAAGAAAAATATTCAAGTCGTACATAGAAATTTCTCAAGTCACGACAATCTTACGGAATCTATCTCCAACAGATGCCAGATAGCTTGATTGTAGAGCTCTTTCCAAATCCGCTAACTGCGCCACGGACACAGCTAACTGAGGGGCATGGCCTTCGAACGTCGTCACTGAAACACAAAGGAATTTCCGGAAATTTCTCGCAATATGGAGACATATTCCTCACTGAATAATTTGGGCGAACCGTGGGTATAACCGATATAACCATATTCATCCTTGAAAAAAATAAGAAAATAAGCCAAGAATCAAATATAGAAGTTCATGCTTTGTGGTCAGCTCAAGAAGAGCTCCCAGAAAAACGCTAACAACTGAGATTCCATGGGACTTCTGGTGAACATAAATCACAGACACTCTCAATGATACCAATACTTTTTGCTTTTTCAATACATTTACTGCATCAGCTTTGATCTCAACATATTTCACTGCGTCTGATAGCCAGCCTTCACTAATACGTAAATACACCCACTCACATGCTGTCCATGAAAAAATGTTGCCGCGGGGTCTTAAACTTCGATCACTCCATACCGCTAATCTAACAGAAAGAAATGATTCGAATTAGGTTTAGCGATGTAATTCATCTTGTTCACCCTTCACAGATTTACTGGATGGCACGTAGTCCTCGGATCAACCACTCTGAACATTCAGGTGAAAAACTATTTTTAAAAAAGTTATGTAACGCAGCAGTAACATTACGCTATGCGAAAGGATTTATCTTAAGATGACGATTTATCAACGCGACCGCCTTATCCTTTCTCAACATTGAAATGGAAAGGTTAAAGATCAACAGAAAATAGCTGCCTGTCAGTAAATGGCTAAAGTTACCCCGAGAACAGAAAATTACGGCGATCGCCTTAATGTAAGAAAAAATCGGAATACTTCGTGCTTGCGCTGTCTTTCTACTTATTTCTTAACCATAAAACCAAGTGCAGTAAGGGAAATTTCAAAAAAGCAAAATATAAATAGAAAATTGACACCTCCTGGGGATGCAAATTACCACTTGCTCTATCCATACCCCGAATATTGATTGATAAATAGCCTGCAAAACAACTGCAAGGATGGGCATACCATTAGTTCGCTTAGCACCATAAACAATTTTGCCGTCGAATTCGTCTACAGGGATTTGGAAAGCGCAATCGACGATGGCGATTGTCTGTCCAAGGTGTTCTTCGATATCGGCAAGCAGCTGAAAGTTTGGCTTAGTTATCCCTTTATCTTTGTCTGAACTCAATTTCTTCTTGCTCCAATCGTAACTACTCGGAGTAAAGGAGAAAGAAACTTACTTTAGGTTCATTGTACCAGATGGTACAACCACCTTGTGAAAGATCATTCGTATTACGACACTTCGGATTACCACACTTATGGTACCATACCTTTTCCTCATGGGTCGACACTAACGAAATAGACAAGCCCATTCTAAACAGCATACGGTGATTTTGAAGCTGATATTTACCAAGAAATAGCACGAATTCAAACACAGTAAAGGTTCAAAGGAAAAATAACCTTTCCGCACGACCAACTCGTCCAATACGATGTACATACTGAGCAGCCTCATCCGGCAGTGTAACATTAATCACTGGAAATAGTACAAATAATGATGAAAAATAAGAAAATTTCGAATAAAAGTGATAAGAAGTGAGGACAAATCTAATATATAAGAAAAATACGTACAAAACGGTACACCACTAATATCGATACCACGAGCAGCAACATCTGTGCATACCAGAAAGGGCTTCTTCTTAGCCTGAATCATGACCCTTCATAATATTGAAGAAAAGAGAAAAAGTAGTACTAATAAAAGGAGCAGAACTGCGAAAGACGTAGTACTATCATACCTTGAAATCCTGAAGATTTTGAGATCGCTCTCTTGGGGAACGGTCACCGTGGAGGCAGACAGCCCCGTATTCTACAAGTGATGAATTATAAATAATATGAAGCAGTATGAGGAAAAATAACGTAAGCTAGCTGTAAAAAGCTGAACATACTATTCCTGATTAGGTAAGCCTCCATGTCGTCACATTGCTGTTTCGTTCGACAAAATATGATACAGTGTTCCATTTTCAGCGCTTCGATTGCCTAAACTTTCAAGTACTATCGTGCTGAATGGCTACTGATCGTGCAAATATTCTGATAGCTACGGATATTGATGATACAGAAATTTCTTTTAAAAAAAAAAGACAAACAGACAATCAGAAGGATCAAGAGGATTCCCCAAGTAACGAAGAAGTGGTAGAACCTATGACAAGTAAAGTGAAGTGAAGGGAAAAAAAACAAAAAAGAACCTTAGAAACAAGTATCTCAGGATCGCGAATAAAAATGATTTTGTTGGAGGAAAGGATCAAGAATAAAATACAATGCTACAACAACCCTTGAGAAGAAATGTCTCATCCCGATGACAGTAACTAGCCAGAAAATGAAAGACTAGTTAGCATTGATGAATTCATGAACTTATAAGCTTTCAAACAACCCTATTACTCCATCTAATAAGAGTAGAGTGGCTCAAAAAAAGTCAACATAACTGACCTTTAGCACATANATATGATACAGTGTTCCATTTTCAGCGCTTCGATTGCCTAAACTTTCTAGTACTATCGTGCTGAATGGCTACTGATCGTGCAAATATTCTGATAACTGCGGATATTGATGATACAGAAACTTCTCTAGAAAAAGACAAATAGACGATCAGAAGGATCAAGAGGATTCTCCAAGTAACGAAGAAGTGGTAGAAATTATGATAAGTCAAGTGAAGTGAAGGGAAAAAAGAACCTTAGAAACGAGTACTTAAGGATCGCGAATAAAAATTATGGTTTTGTTCGAGGAAAGGATCGAGAATGAAACACCATGCTACAAAAGCTATCGAGAAGAAATGTCTCATTCCAGTGACAGTGACTAGCCAGGAAATGAAAGAGACTAGTTAGCACTGATGAGTTCATGAACTTATAAGTTTTTAAACAACCATACTACTCCATCTAATAAGAGTAGAGTGGCTGAAAAAAGTCATCATAACTAACCTTTAGCACATAAGTCCCTTTGAGAATCTTCGTTCCCAATGAAATCGTATTCTTATCTTTTGTATTCAACCTAATCTGATCGCGTTCATGCACCAAGTCATCCTGAAATTACAAAGTTCACCCCACATCGAGACATCAAGGAAGCTAGCTCATAATACTATGATTTGATTGAGTTCACCAAGTATAGGACTGAGTGATTTTTAGCAACCAAACCTCATGAGAATAAAAGAAATTACCCTATATCGAGCTGGACTGACCAAAGAAAGTGATATTTCACACAAAATGAATAAAAGGTAGTGGATTTAGATCCGTGGGGCAGCCAAAGTTTATGGGAGAAGTCCAGCTACTGCAAAGTCACACGAACTTTTAATCCTGGTTCCCCAAAACAAGAAGTTTTAAGGTGGGATGCTTGAACTATAGCATAAAAAAATTCATCCGAGCAGTCTGTATTTACAAAGCCATATTCCTTTTTACGGACGACAACACTCGGAATTACTGTAATTTTTACCTTGAGGTGATTTGGACTATGCATATGTCGAATCCACTGCTTATCTCCATCTGCGTCAACCATACACACCACATGATGTACCGTCTCCGCTACACTGTCCATACCTTTCAAATCGATCCATTGAGGGAAATTCATATACCTATCCTGGAAGACCATAGCGCTTATTCGATGGATGAAAGGTCATAGAGAGCTCAAACGCACCGCGAACTGAGTGATCTGTTGATTATGAAGAGTTGCCGAGCAGGCTATCACTTGTAAACGCATTCCATTCGAAGCCACAGTCGGGACACGGGACAGCAGTCGTTCCAGTTGCGGTTTGAATGAGGACAGGATTTGATCCTGAAACGATAAGGCAGGCTAATTATGATAACTGGAGCTCTCAAAAGGGTTTCGTAGTTTCAGACTTACTGCTTCATCAATTACAATGAAATTCAATCCACTCGTAGATAACTTCTGGGTTTCAATCATGTCCAACACACGTCCTACACCTCCTGTTACAATATCAACACCTCGGTCGAGCTCGCTAAGCAACTGTCCCATGCTGGCACCAGCGGCCAATGAGGTACATCTAAAAAACAGTCACCAAATCGGTAAGGGCGATATTCATGGGTGATCTGTACGGGATAAGAACTTACCCTATAATCATGTCTGTGATACAATCACATTTTATTACTGATTTAGTATACTTTCAGTCCTATAGTCAAATCGGCAAATGTCAAAATCCTTACCGTATCTTCGGGTCGCTGACATTCTTTGAAAACTTTATCAGGTTTTCGTGAGTTTGCTCGATCAATTCCTTAGTTGGCTCGAGCACAATGCAGACTGGAGCCGCCGACCTGCTACTTTTCTCGTTTTCAGTTTCTAGGCCCCGCCATTCTGTAAGGGACGATGGGGCTTCGCAAACGGCAATCACACCCTTAAATGGAGATGAATACTATGAATACTTCCGAAGGTTCTGAAAAGACGCAATCCAGAAAAAGTCAAGAAACATAGAAATCACCTCTTTCGGAGGGAAATCGAATGGAGTCGCGCCAAAATTAAGTTCCAGCGAAGAGTTCTGCACCAGCACAGCTGGGTGCAATGCACATTGTGGACTGGAGAATTTCGCATCCAATCGAAAGGCTACACCGAATTCTTTGCCATTCTTTGACCACCTGTAGCATTGTTTCGTGTAGGAAATATTAGTTCCCGTTCTCTGAATTACTTTTCGAGGCAGTTTAGAACTGACCATATCCTTCCATTGTCGAGATCCAAATAACACCCCATCACATCGCCAGTTGTGAAGGACTCGCCATAATCTTCGAACTTTCGCTGGGTGCTCTTTTTGCCAGTACCACCAAAACCAAAACTCTCGTCATCAGTTCCTGAAAAGCGCATAGTGAATCGTCACGCCAGTCACATTACGAAGAGGAAGCCTTACCCAGGTCTAATGACGCCTTTAACGTTGACCAACCGATGCGGCACAAACCATCACGTGTAATCTTCACCTCATAATAATACTTGCCTGTAATGGAATTAGGCATAGAAATAAATAAACGATTCTCAAAAAAAAGAGATTACCTTTGGTATGAACGCCTCCCATGCATCTTGAGCCATACCAAGCCTTTGGAACACGACTTTCACAAGATAAACCGTCTTGAGATAATGATAAACCCATCGCACGATCCGCCAAGTTCAGTCGCCAACTAACGGCTTCAAAATGAACATCATAGAGGGAGCAATAAAAACTCTTCCATTGGAAAGTAAGACGAGTATCTCTTTGTGAGCCCAACTATCCTATTGGCAACTTATTTCGACAAATGCAGATGAAAACGATCAGCAACCAACAAGAATGTGCATGCATAATAAAATTGTGAAGAATAATATGATAGAAATACTGAAAGGCTCAAAACAAAACCAACGGAAGACAACTTACATGATTTTCCTCCAGAATTCGACCCCTCTTTACGTCTTTCCCATACTATTTGAACTACGGGCAGTGAGAAGGCTCCAGTCTTACCACTACCAGTTTCTGCAGCCTAAAACGAAGCATTACTCTCGAATTGAACACTGTAACGAACAACTGCAGGTAATAAAATAAAATAATCACAAGAAAAATAGCTGAACTTACTATGAGCACATCACCTCCACCAAGAATAGCTGGAATGGCATCGCACTGAATTGGTGTTGGCAACCTGAATTGAAGAAGCTTTGCCGAGAAAATTCACCAATACNACTCCCATCCAAGTTCAGAAACTGCGTCACCCAACTCAGGAATTACTCCCAACTCCTCAAATGCCGTCATGACCAACTGAAAGATCAGATGCGCAAGATATTTGTTGAAGAGAGAAATGCAAGGGGTAATAGAAACTTAAAAAAGAATTGCAATATTCAATCGCTGGCGATCGAAAACACGAGTAAACGAACGCATTTGAAAGCAAAATTTATTAAAAGATCAAATCAAAACGTAGAAATTTTGGAGCGCTCAATGAAGCACATCAGAAATATTGGGCTTAACAAAATGTCACCGTGAATTGTTATTCTGAATATTACACATCTATGTAACACAAAAAATGAAAAGAGAATTGATGAACAATTGGAAAACTGAGGAGCGCTTAACATAGTAACCATGAAATAATTGATTTGCCAATTTTTTAATTTTATCAGTTTGAGCTTTCATTACACTACTCCTCGAATCTGATAATGATCAGGAATGTGCCCAGAAGTCAACATTATTTACATTATGCTACAATCGAGAAACAACATACAAATATCTAACGAAGGGAAAACAGCAAGTAACAAAAAGGAAATAGGGAAATAAACGCACGCGCCGCGACTTCAAGCTGCTATACCTCTACACTCCACTCGCTTCTGCCCTCTCTTTCTCACATAACAAATTGGCAATATGTTCCCGTTTGAAAGTGAGTCGTCGTTTTTCGGCCATAATTTCATCAGCCATCTTTTTGAGATGTTCATCTTCAATCTGGAAAGAAATAGCTCAGATATGGCGGGAGTATAAGAAAGCAAAGAAATTTCATTTTATCAAAAGAACCGTTTCAAATTCAAAGTGAAAACCAGATATTCAAATTCAAAGTGAAAACCAGATATTAACGCAAACAAAATTAATCAACTTAAATGATACTGTTGTCTGTCTCATTATCTTACACTATTACCACGCATTACTTATTATAATTATAACCAACATTATTTCATACTACTGGTCGTAACTGAAAGCATAAAGTGTTGAAGATTTTTACATAAAGTTCCCTTAGAAAGTGGGAACTCTACCTTGATCTTACGTAGCATTCGAGTGCGCCTAGCCGTTGTATTATCAGGGCGATTTGTTGGTTTCGGCTTTGGGGCTGCATTGTCGTCCCCCATCCTTAGATATAAATATGGAACTGTTCGAAAAATGAGCAAAGTCTGAAATAAGGAAATGTTGATAATACAGGCAAATCCATATAATTCACCGTTAATAATTCAGATAATTACAAGGGTATGAACAACCGGCCGACCGATGAAAAAAAAATGCTCAGTATTTTCATCCGCAGCAACAAACTTCTGATGCATTAAAGAACATAATTGTTCACAGAGATGTTAAAAAGAAGAAAAAACATATTGAAGAAGTACACTGCGGATCAAACCATAAAATGACACGACCATAAACTGACTGAACGTATTCATTTTCACCAGTCAAGAAATTGAGAGCCTACACAGTTGGGACAGATTAGTTAGGTTACAGACAACAACATATTATTATTAACAAACCAGAAATCCAACAACAGTGAGATCTTTGATAACAAAAACTGACAAGCACATCCATCAAAAAACTTTCCAAGGCAATGTACAGGCGTCTTAGATTGGTGCCAAAACAACTGTACAGGGAGTGAGGGGCTTATTAAAGGTAGCCATCACTGCCAACTATCAAAAATCACAGTCTTACAATGACACTTTAACAACAAATGAATTGATTCCCCAGTCACCTGGCCCCGTTCGCAGCTGGGGCGTCCTATTGTTCCCAACCCGCCTGACATTCCAGAAGCATTTGAGGTCTGCTAGGCTTACTCCAACACAATAAAGTCTTCTTCAGCTGCTACGTCGAGTTTTCTTTTTTTAGCCGATTTCGTGACCACTTCACGATCGCTCTGCTTGCATTTCATCATAATTTGGGATTGCTGGGCTCGGTCACCTTTAGGGCCGCTGACGATGTAACTGAACAATTGAGATGATGTTTACATTTAGATCAAGTACAGAGAAAAACAATTAAGTGATGTTCTTGTTGATAATTTCGAACATTCTTTTTACTGCCCAGCCAAAGATATTATGGAGCCAGTTTGAATCAAGGGTCAAGGAACAAAAACAACAGGGACAAAACACCAGAACACAGGTCAATTCCTTACCTATGAATCGCGTAAGGTGTGAAGTGGAAGTCCTGTTTGAGATACCCGTTCAGAAGAGCATGGCATAAGGTTGCTTCAATTATGAGCTGGAAATGTGAAGCTTTACAGAGGTCACATCCAATAAAAGAAGCTGTTTGAAAATGATTATGCCACGACATTATAAATAGTTTGTAAGGAAATCCGGAAAATCAGTCCATATCCTACCTTTCCGGAGAACGACGAACTTACCACAGACATCCTGTCTAACTTAAATAACAAAAAATAGAAGGGCAGTTTGATGAGAGGTTCGGAATCATTACTAACCTTTGATCCAAGCCGTTGCTTGGTCGCCAATTCAACTAGTTTGGCGCCAGTGATACGATTGGAGCCGCGATCATTGGACTTTTGCTGAAGTTGAATTTATTGCAATCTTTGACTACCTTACGAAAAAAATCTTTTAACCTCCAAAAATAATACAAAGCTGTTACATACCTCGCGAATAATTTTCAACATAGCCCGAACAATATCCGTGATATCTATATCCGCAACTTCAGTATGGCATGCGCACACATCACAAGCTTTCGGGCACAGTTCACTTGTCCATCTCTCCTCAAAGTGGTCAGCCAAGTGCTTACGGCGGCACTCTCCGGGCTAAAATGTCTAGGCCCTTAGCGCTTTTGAAGGGATTGAGCTCTTTAAATGAGACACTAACTGTGATTGCGTATCGAACCATTGCATAGAGATTTCTTATACCAGTACGCTCAGTGCACACCATAGTGCTCTGCCGGAACACATCCGATAAACGGAAGTATAGAATGCAAACAGCCGGAAGCCCATCACGTCCAGCGCGCCCACTCTCCTAAACAGCGAAGTTTCACATACATCGAATATTGGCGAATCTCAAGATGCAACAGGGAAAGAATGGACCTGAAAATAGTTCTCCACAGATTTTGGTAGCGCATGATGTATAACGTAGCGCACGTCAGGCTTGTCAATGCCCATTCCTGAAAAGCAAAACAATGAGAAACTAATGATCACACGAGTTTATCAATGCCTAAAGTACAAGGGACCGAAATAAAATCTCTCGCGGATGGAAATGATTCTAATAGTATGTAACACTTTGTCAGAACGGTTTTACTATGCAAATGTAAAAGAACTACCGAAAGCTACTGTAGCCACGATAACGTTGTACTTTCCGCTGACCCATTTCTCATGAACAGCTGTTCGTCGAGATGATTCCATGTCAGCATGATAGAAAGCAGCACGAATGCCAGATTCCCTGCAAGTGCATCTATAGTAACCGTGAAGCTTGCTAAAAAACGAATCTCAATATTACCCATTAAGACCCCATTCAAGGAGTTCTACAAAGGAAGAAAGTGATCAAAGCATGACTCACCGCAGTTGCGTGGCCACTTCTTCGCAATCTTTTCTTGAGAAACAATAGACAATACCCGATTGATTGGCAAATCTGGAAGAGTTGAAATCACAAAAGCTTCATAATTTTCTGGAACAACAAAAAAAACACACCTGGACTTGATCAGTCTAGCAAGTTCAGCCGTGAAATCACTATCAGGTTTCTGTATTACCTCGTAGTGTAAATTTAGACGATTGAAGCCCGCCTTGAATACCACGGCGTCTGAAATAAAAAAATTAAGAAGTCATCATTCAGATACCTGTTTCATTGATTCCGACAGCGCAACTGTCATGAGGTAATGAGATAACTCACTTGGAATATCAAGCATTGTTTTAACATCAGAAAGAACGTTAGCGGTAGCAGTCGCTGTTAGTCCAAGTAACGGGACGTTTGGAAATTGACGTTTTAAAATGTTTAGAAACTTGTAATCTGGCCGAAAGTCATGGCCCCATTGGGAACAGCAATGAACTTCATCGATTGCGAATACCTGCAAATTACCAGTTTGGGTCCATCATTCTCCACCAATTACAAAAAAAATTTACATCTTTTCACTCGTATTGATTAATTGCATGCTCGACTGTCGAGAAGGCGGAGGATGGACTTACTTTCAACGTTCCAACTTCTGCCGCCTTTTCCAGCTTGTTCATCAGTCTTTTACTTTTTGCTAATTTCTCAGGTGTAATGTACAGAAGACGCAGAGAAGAACCTTTCTGTATGAGCTGTGCTTCTATTCGTTTCACCTGGAATCGAGTAAAAATCAATAAGTGGGGAAGCTGTGACACTTTGGTGAAATATGATGGTCTCACATCCTCTTTTGTTGTCGACTGATTCAGAGCTGCTCCTTCAACACCAAGTTTCTGAAGACCAGCAAGCTGATCCTCGATCAGCGATATCAATGGGGAGATCACTACGACGAGACCTGTAAAAGATGCAAAGGCAGATATGTTTTCCAGAACGCCAACAGAAGAGATCTTATTTTTAGCCGTTATTACCTTTCATGGCGATTGCTGGCAGCTGGTAACATAGACTTTTCCCAGCACCAGTACTCATTACAACCAATGTGTCTAACTCCGACATTACTGCGTTAATCACCTCTCGTTGAAGTGGTCGAAATGAGGGCAAATGAAAGACCTGAAGAAAACTGGTTTGGATGCACTGTAGAAAACAAACTTCCAATTCACTTGCTAAAAGTACTCGTGCAATTATACAAAAAGAGGTGAAAAAGAAAGTGCTTCTTTTTTGCGCTCATTGGAACACTTCGAAAGAGTAAGCCAGGGATCTATGAAACCTCGAAATTCTCCAAACTAGGAGAAGGACTCTGAACCATCCCAATGTCATGAACATCAACAGGTGCAATGTTGTTCTCCAAACCGATCCTTTAGGGGACCCTGGAGGAGAGAAATACTTGGTTGTCCTGTACTGATATTGATTAGTGTTTCGATCGCAGGACCACGAGAGTATGATAGTGCGCCACATTTCACAACACCACCTCTACTCCAACGTACACAAAATGTAATGAGTAAAAATGAATCAACTAAAAAAGTAAGATGAATATTACCTCTTTGAGTATGGAATCAACATTATCCGACCATGAAAATGTTCCATCAAACTTCGTATTGGCGATTTTTTCCGCTTGCTCCACATTTCGAATTTCCAGAGCTATTTCAATCTGAAGTTGAACTTATGACCTCACTATGAAAGACACTACAACAAAGTTCACAAGTCTGAGCCATCTTATTTCCCAGTCAAGCACTTCCAGGTGATTGTTTTACAATAAGGGGCTTGATCCATTCGAAGGGTTTAATGATCATTCCGTCATTGATTTGCTGTCAGGTACGCCGATGAAATCTTCTGGACGCACTTTTTTGGGATCGTTGAAGCAATCAATTCAAGCCAATCCAAAAAAAACCCCAACAATCATTATCTATATAATGTTGCATCCAAATCTCCCGTCATATAGACCACCAACTAGCTGACTGAAAGTAGCTTATCGTTTAGTAAGGCTGCAGTTATATAGCATTGGGAGTTCCTTTGTATATCTGCTTGATGTTAGGTTGTCCCTTGATACATCCCTAGTCATTCCCAAATGAAGGAGTCTGTAGGTTTGGTGACCTTTCTCAAATAGGCGCGCACCCTGACTTCGGACCTACTGTTTGAATTAACATTTCCATTAACTACTTTTTATATTACACAAGTATTGTAATAACCTACCACACCTCGGCCTTCCGCTGCTCCAGCAGTTCATTTCGTTCAATCAATTCGGCGATTTTCCGCTGATTGAACTCGATCTCCTCAATAATCTCCGCCAATTCCATCGATTCTCGACTGCTGTAGCCATTTTCAGACTTACTAGCCATATCATCAGCACGAAGAAGGTGGAAGTACCGAGACACTTGAGCGAACAGACCGCTGCAACAAATGCCTCCGAAACTTTTGCAAACAAGAAAGTTTCAACAGCGGCTGCGTTGCGGTCGCATGTTAGAGCGCGCAAACATGCTTGTCCGTCATGCGATCGTAGCAACAATGAACAACCTCGCTTCCTTCTCGTAATCGGTTTTGTTCCTTGGATGTTGGAATTTCTCCCAAAATTAAAGAAAGATTGAAGAGGAAGAAGAGGAAGAGTAAGATTAAGGAATAATTTACCATCCAATCATGTCTCTGAGTAACGTATGCCAGTTTGAGAGCCCCCAAAACACTAAGGGGCCCTCGAGGCTAACAACACATGACCCTCAGAACATGTGCAGAGTAGTAGACTATCTATTTGCGTGCCGAGTGTCAGGATTCTGTTGGCGGAACTCGATTCCCATGGCTAAACGCTTCAGCCGTGTGTAGTCACTGAACCCTTCTCGCTCCCTCCTCATCCGGTCCCTCTTCAGTCTTCAGATTTTTGACATTCAGGCCCTTACTGCTAAGAAAGTCAGGATTTTTTCTACGCTGCTATCACTTTCCCTTATTTCGGTCGCTTCAAAGCTTTACTCCTAGAGTCATAAGATGAAGTGGCTCTTGTGAGTGAAGAATTGAATGGTTGACGAGTGCCCAGTCCGAATGTCGTCTACTGAAGAATTGACCACCTCATTGACAGACGAAAACGTGGGTTGCATCCTTGGGATGGCGAGTTATGCACAAAACTCCGGCCTCGGACGGGGCTCGAATCCGAATTTGTGCTTTCCGAGCACCGTGCTTTTTCCCTTACACTACCGAGACCCCGCTTGCCCTGACCTTCTCGATGGCTTGCTTCTTGGATCTCATAGGTCTCTCATAGATCCCTTCAGTAAAAGAGTAATAACGCCAATTCTCCAGCCACATGGTTTTTGATGGCATCTCGTTGGAAACCGAAACTTCCACGGGGGCGGGCGCGAGGATATTACGAGCTGGGAAATGGGGTCGGTACGAGCTCAAATGAGGACGGTACGGCCTCACAACTCAATTCAGTATTCACCGTCATCGTGTGCCGTCTTTTTATCGCTCTTTTTGTATGAACGCTGTGTCAGTTCTGCCTGAGACGGTGTGATGGTACAGAAGAGGCGGCTGCACGGTTCATGGCCAAGTGATCGTACCCGCATCGATACCCCTAGCCAACCCGAAGTCGTATTCCCTGGGATTACCTTTTTGATATTAAACTCGTGAGAGAAGCTCTATTCTCTTTTCCAACCTACCTACACCATTGGATCTTGATTAGCCTCCGGGCTGGGAAACGTCATGGGAAAGAGTCGTGGGAATGGGAAGGGGTTCAGGTCTCGAGATGAACCGCTTTTTGTAATGCTGAGCATTGTTCGAAGGATATCCTCGGTGTGACCACCGTCGGGAATGACCGTGTCAGTGGGTTTATGTAGCGCCGCCCTAATAGGCGGATCCGTTTCGAGTCATTCATTGGTTTCTTATGGAATCTGTCGTGTTGAAAGGAAATAGCAGCACCACTACGATCACTATCGTATGCTTAAGGTCAGTCCCGGCCTCAATTATCAGATCCCAGATACTTCCCCATGGTGCCTTTGCACATCCCCATTACTCATCCAGTCTCGTTACAATTCTGAACAGTATCCGAACTCGTGGCGTGTTCGAAAAGAGTTTGGTCAGCGTTTTAACTGTAACTCTTCAATCTAGGCTAGCCGGTCAATCCGTTGTTTCAGTTTCCAGGCTTCTCCCACACAGACTGGTTGTGGTTGGGGATAGCATGAGACGATGAAAGTGACAGTCCGTTACTGTGCTGTGTACGTACACAATCGTAGTCGCACGTTTTTCTTAAGCTCCGTATGTTATTATTGTCCTGAGACAGAACGTGATCGAAGACAAGTCTTACAGTCTATGATTACATTGCCGATCATCCTAACGATTCATAAATTTATCCGTTAACGACCACATTGAGCAGGATAAGAACCAGAACATGAGTGTATGCTAGTTCCCGCATCGCTACTACAGAAACCCAGACCACGGGATACTAGTGTCCACTGATAGTTGCTTGCCTATCCCATTGGCGGTTGCTCCCTACCCAGTTGGTGGACATCCAGGCCTCACTTCAATACCGTCTCGGTAGGAACACAGTTATTCCCTGAAGTGCACTTATCCTTTATCACTACTGCAGGTCTTACGATTTCGTTTTTGACTTCATATGATCTGCTCAGTGGATCTACTGCTCGTTCCTACTGTACTACCATATTGTTCACGTTAGAAATCAATTCTTTGAATTTTCAGCAGTGGGAGCACCCACACACTTGACTCCCTTTGAAAAACATGGTAGCATTTGTCTATGATCTAAGTAATGAATTTTTGTAAAACTGACCATTCTGAAGGAACGAATAGTGCATGGCGCTTTCTACAAAGGATACCCCCGTAGGTAGCGCTTGAACACCCATTCCAACCGGAATATGAGATAATCCATGAATTTCTTTTTCAAGTTTGACTTGTACCTGTCAACCGCTTCCATACTTCCACAGGGAAAAGCAAAGCTATATCAGTCATCGGCTTCACCTCAGAAGCTATCGTTCAGGCGGATGCATCTCAAATACTACATAGAAGTCGAATGCAGGGCGCAACCCCAATCGGAGCAACCAAACTCATTTCTTCTGTTTCTATACTTGATGTTATTCTTGCTTCGGTTCGTTTTCGCTTTCTAAGAGTTGAAGCCAACTCCAGCTCTAATCCCTGACTGCTATTATTGTTTTTGTCTACATATTGGTCTGACCCCGTCCCGTCAAATTGAACGGATGGCGTATGTTTCGAGTCGAATTTCAATTTTCAGCAGCCCTTACCGAATTCTTCACGACTAACAGAGAAGGCTGCAATCATCAAAGTTGGCCAACCAGATATTCAGCTCCGTGCAGATCGGACCAAGGTGAAAACTTTTGTTCGTCCCCCTTTTTATCGATTTGGGTCGAGCTTCAGGATACTCCTTCAGGTTCATTGTGAACGAAATGATGACTTCATAACGAAATGATGACTGATCCGTGTTCAGATGCCTCGTTCAGTCGTAATGTTGATGCTGGCACTCGGAATGGGTCTTCTGGCCATAATGATTTCTGTATTGGTAGTGGGCCATCTCGCCAATGAAATCTACGAGTTCCATTATGATGCTCTTCGAGAATTGAGTGAGGCCAAGGCAAGTTATTTCCCACTCTAAAAAGTGCTGCCAGTACATCTAAACGTTTGGGATCTACAAAATTTGGTTTTAGCCCTGCCATCATCGCACCTTCTATAATTTTCGGACAATCCAAATCCTGATTAGCTTCATTTTCAGGTCCAGACTGAGTCGGTGTGGCGTATTATGCTTCCTCACCAGCTTTATCATCTCAGGAAGAGAAGAGCAAATTATAATTTCATTCAATATCCAATATGCAATTGTGCGGCGCAAGCGATGTATTGTCCAGTTGGCCCTCAAGGNTACCCACCCCTATTATACGATTTCGATTGTGTTCAGTGTCCTCCAGGCGCGCCTGGTGAATATGGACCGGATGGACCTAGAGGGCCACAAGGGCCTCCTGGCCCGCCAGGCCTTCCTGGAAAGCCTGGTCGTGACGGTCTAATAGGACCACCAGGCCCTCCTGGACCACCAGGATTGCCTGGTCTGCCAGGTAAAGACTCGCCACCAGGACCATCAGGACTAGACGGTTTTCGTTATGTGGGAATTCCGGGTGAACCGGGACCACGAGGACCAATGGGAGAATGGGGGATGCCAGGAGAAGAAGGAGAATGTGGTGAGCCAGGTATGCCTGGGCCACCAGGACCACCTGGACCTGAAGGAAAACCTGGAGAAGACGGATTCGATGGTTTGCCTGGACCTCCTGGCCCAGAAGGACTTCGTGGATATGACGCGTTTTACTGTTTATGCCCAAGGAGGACTAGTGCAATTTTCATTGATAGTGATTTATTATAATTGTTTCGAGTCGTTCAAATTACGTGCTTTAATTATTTGTGGTTTTAAAATAAAGTTTAAGGGTTGCTTGTGAAAGCTTCAATTCAACAATATCCCCTTTTTATTGATTTACCTGGTACCTAATTTAGTAAGAGGTTAAAACAGCATTCGTAACTCAAAAATTCCGTGTCCTGAATGCTTAAAAAGAGCTTTCATAGAGTAACAGCTCCCAAACAGATCTTCGTGGAAGTACGGAGAAGGATAACTAGTCCCATTTTTAAACTGGGATCTTCCTGAATTTTTTTTCAGGGAAACCAAAGTATATAAAGGGGAGGGGGGGAGA